TGATCTTAAACATCTAAACATCTTGATCCTAAACATCTTGATCCTAACCTTCTTGATCCTAAACATCTAAACATCTTGATCCTAAACATCTAAACAACTTCATCCTAAATATCTAAACATCTTGATCCTAAATATCTTGATCCTAAACATCTTGATCCTAAACATCTAAACAACTTCATCCTAAATATCCATCCGTCCATCCATTATCTTTTACCCGCTTCTTCCATTTTGGGTCACGGGGGTCGCTGGTGCCCATGTCCAGCAATCACTGTGCGAGGGGCGGGGGACACCTGGACGGGTCGCAAGTCCATCACAGGGCCACATAGAGACAAACGAGACAAACAACCATTCACTCTCTCACTCACACCTAGGGACAATTTAGAGTTACCAATCAGCCTAACATGCATGTTTTTGGTCTGTGGGAGGAAACTGGAGTACCCAGAGAAAACCCACGCATGCACGGAGAGAACATGCAAACTCCACCCAGAAGGCCCCTGGACCGGGGTTTGAACCAAGGACCTGCTCGCTGAGAGGCAGCAGCTCTACCAGTTGCGCCACCGTGCTGCCATCCTAAACATCTCAATCCTAAACATCTAAACATCTTGATCCTACATATATTGAATCTTATTTCCTAAATTGAATGTTCGTTTATGTAGTTTTATCAAGTTGAAGTAAAAGGTAACATTCTCTCAGTATATCTAAAGAAGTTAAATCTGGTCCTCTGGACATTCAAATAACAAAACAACCCCAAAAAAAGTAGAAACGTTTCGTCTTTTATCCAAAAGACTTCTTCAGTCTGAGGTGCTGTATTCAGCTCAGTCTTATAAATAGCACCTTCTCAGAGTGGATCAACCAGTTTGCTGCTCACTTAACTTTTTCAGATGTTCCTCCTGGATTATTGAGCATGCATCAGGATATTCTCTCAGTCAGTACCACAAATTAATCTAAAAGTGATGCATTCTGGGTAAAGTTTGAAGCTTCTAATCATTCATTTTTCTCATACTATGCTTTGACCTTCATTTGCACATATGAAGTCTGGACTTATTGATGTCATGCAGCTGCAGAGACCAACACTGGAGTTTCTGAACAGCTTCCTCTTTCTTTAGCTACATTTCAGAGAGCATGTGGAGTAAATTTGGATATCAGCTGCCAAACACTCTTCCTCGTCTGCTTCCTCTACACTCTGCCATGGCATGGAGATAAAAGCAGGAATGAGTGCATGTTTCAGTAATCTCACCATGTGGATGGATTCCTGCTGCCTGGCCTGCCCTCTGGCTGATTTACATCTTGTTTTTCCACACTGCGTGCAGCGTTCGGGCTGGTTTTCTGCTGCTGTAATGGTCACACAGACTGTCTGTCTCTCCTCAGGAGTGCCTGAGACACCTAACTACCCTCTCAGTCCTCGTATTGTTGTGTTTGGTACGTAACTGTCTGCTCATCTTCTCTGTCAGCCATGTATGTACCTTCCTGTTCTCGATGCCCTCTATTCTGGGTTTTATTCAGCATTTTATATTGCACGTTTTTCTTTTTTCTTTTTTACTCTAAACACCATCAGTGATGGCTATAAATGTAAAATTACAAGATTATCTGCAAAGCGTCTTTAATTGTCGTCATATATTGAATTGAACTGTGATAGAAATCCAGTCAAACCTTTATAATCTCAGTGCGCTGTTCCTTTCAGATGCCCTTCTTGCTGATTTGGAGAACACCAGCTCTCCTCTTCCACGGTGTCCTGTCTTGTTGACCTCTGACCCGCCACAGAACGCTGGTGCCACCTCCCAGGACCCAGCCCAAGCTCGACCACCACCTCCAGCCTATACACCACAGCATGTAGATACTCACATTTACTTCAGCTGTTACGTATCTTTGATTTCATGTAGTTCAACTCTTAATGTTTGTTGTGTCTCTTAGACGGTCTCTGCTGTAATGAAGTCCTCACAGAACTCACACCCAGACAAATTATACAGGTAAATCCTCTTCTTTAGAAACTTCAAGTCTGGATTAATATCAGCCTAAAAGCCCAGCGGGTACAGTAATAACTGTAGAAGTATGTGGGAATAACAGCCTTGAATCTGATGGCCATGTGAAGTTTTATAAAATAGCGTTTGCACGAGCTGCTGTGAAAGTTTTGAGATTGGAGTTAATTTAAGAGAGCTGCGATCCAATTTGGTCTCAGCTTCACTCAGATTAGCTGTTAGCTCATCAATCTGGTCAAATTTAACGTATCACCTCAAACTGATGTAATCCGAAGTGCTATCTCCAGCAGGTAAGATATTATATGTTCATATCTTAACACAGAACCCCAACTTATAGCAGAATTGCTATCTGCAATGACTGCTGCGAGGAGGAGCAAAAACGAAGTCCTACAACACTTCAAACCTAATTAACCATCTCAAGAACCACCATTCTGACCATTACGATGAGTTCATGGTGGCCAGAAAGGAAAGCGAGAGAGCGGTCAACCGCGGAGAAACAAAACCTCACCAGCAGTCCATCCATCCAAAGACCATGCAGAATAATGTAGTATTTTAATTCTACAACAGAGAAAGCTATGTAGTCTCTGGAAGTAGGTCTAGAGGAAAAAATATTGGTATCGGTTATCGGCTAAATAAGTTTTAACATATTGGCCAAAAATCCAATATTGTTATTCTAATTCTGACACTTTATTTTCAAAGCTTGGCGTCACTCGGCTTCTAATTTTCTGTTCCAGCAGCTCCCAAGTTCCACATCGAAGCCGTCATAATATTGAACTCAGATTTTAAATGGAGACAGTGTGACGCTCAGCTGTGATTTAGCTCAATTCAAGTTCATTAGTAGGAATATATTTTCAAACTGTTTTCATCTGGTTGTGTCTCGTCTGTCCCACAGCACAGTGTGTAAACCACGCTCCCCCCACGCAGCCGATCCTCCTCCTGCCTTCTCCTCCTCGCTGCTGGGCGGAGGTCTAAACGAACTGGACCATTTGTTACAGGAGCTCAACGCCACCCAGTTCAATATCACAGGTCTCTGAGTGATTGCGTCTCCCTGGTGTTAGCGCTGCGAGCAGTCTGAGCTGTGGTCTGATCGCTCTTTTGTTTTTCAGACGAGATCCTGGCCCAGTTTCCTTCTAAGAAAGACGAGAGGGACAAGATGAAAGACAAGGCCTCAACATCGCCAACATCCAGGTACCAGATCCAAGCAGTTTGCTCTCATCGACTATCCCAGTTCTGAAAAAGTTGGAACGGTGTGTAAAATCTAAAAATAAAATGTTCGTATCTTCTGTGGAGGATTTGAAGTGTAGATGGTGGGATGTTCAAAGTCTCAGTTTTCTATTGAGGCACATTCTGAAACTATTTTTAGATTCAGCTTTTACCAGACTGGTGAACCTCAGCCCATCTTTACTTCTGATAGACTCAGCCTCTCTAAAATGCTCTTTATGTCCAGACTGACCTGCTGCCACTTCACCTAATTTGTTTCTAAATGTTCCTCCAGCTCTTTCTTATTCATACCACTTCAATTTACAGTCTCTTGTTCTTTTTTTAAAATGTGTCTTTGCTCTAAAATGCAACACCACCTTTTTTTTCTAGTTTGAACATTTCATACGTTTATTATGCTCCATTGTGAATAAAATAAGGGTTTATGAGATTTGCTAATCATTGCAATAATTTTATTTACATTTGACATAATTTCCCCATTTTTTCAGAGCTTCTGTAAATAATCTATATAAAATATGAAGCCACAGAATTTCCATTGATCCTGTAAAGTTCTCTGGTGCTTAATGATGTGTTAGTAAATGTGTAGGGCGTGGTTAAACTGATGGAGTGGTGGCTAACCACGGTCAGCAAGGCCGTTTCAAAAAGCATTTCAAGTAGGGATGCACGATATTGTCGGCATGGTATTGGTATCGGCCGATATTAGTGATAAAGTTAAATATCAGACATAGACCATCAAAATAACTCACTGATCTAAAAGGCGCTGTTTTTGTATGACAACCCAGTGACAAGGATGCCTGCAGCGCTAACACAACGTTGTGATGTCACACGCGACGTTAGATTTGTGAAAATTAACAAATTTGCACTGTTCGAGTGTTGTCATTGTGTTAAAGAGAGTAAATATGAATACATTTGACATTACCTGTAAACAATCCAAGTTGAAGTGTTACATCATTTCCAGCCCCCTTTCTGGCATTTACATCTGGTAGCAGACCAAACTGGCAAAGAGCATGCAGAATAATGTAGTATTTTAATTCCACAGCAGAGAAAGATATGTAGTCTCTGTAAGTAGGTCTAGGGGAAAAAATATCGGTATCGGTTATCGGCCAAATAAGTTTTAACATATTGGCATATCAGATATTGACCAAAAATCCAATATCATGCATCCCAAATTTCAAGTTTAGATCAGACTAAATCTATATTTGTTGATTTTCTTGTGTGTCTATTTGTGTGTTAGCTCTGCAAAGCCCTCAGCAACATCTGCTACAATGGAGCTGGACAAATTAATGGCTTCTCTGTCCGACTTCAGAGTCCAGACTACAGTAAGTTAAAGACTTTTGTCCTCATGCAAAGGTTCTGGGAGAAAATGTAATTGGGGGATGTGTAAAGTACAAAGTATTTTTTCTTTCTATTTTTTTATTTTTTATTGTTTAATCTCTCCCTGGACTTGTTGAAGAATGGTTGCAGACCAACACTGTTCTCTGTTTGGTTACAGGACTCATATTGTTATGATGTATGGCTGTGAATTTCTTTCATCCTTTTCACTTTGAATTTGTTTCATCCTTTTCACTTTGAATTTGTTTCATGCCGGTGGCTAACTGAGGAGGAGGAAGCTGCTTTTATTAAACATAATGAGACAAATATACAGCATACACCTTAAACCAAGGCTGTTCAACTCAATTAGTCAGTGGGTCAAAATTACTGAAAGCCAAGAGCTCAGGGAGTGGACGTCCAGCAGTTGTTGTCATTAAGTTTGTTTGATGGTTTAAAATCTAGTTTTATTTTAAAATGAACACATTGGTGGGCTGAACTGAGCTCACCCACGGGCCTGATTTGGCCCCCGGGCCACCAGTTGAATAGCCCTGCCTTAAACACTGGACTTCAAACTAAACATTTAGAGTAAATGTACTCAGATGTAAAAAATGTTAAAAAATACCCCCCCAATAAAATAAAATCAGCAGCGAATTCTAGAAATTTGAAACGTTAAATACGTTTAACTCTGATCTAAACATCCCGGTATGTAAAAGATGAAACTTTGATAGTTTTAAGATCTTCTTTGCGGTAGTTTGTGCACTCTGAAGACAAGTTTCGATGGTAAATGTCTTCACTGTGTTCTGTCTTCCTCCAGCCGACTCCACCGGTCAACCCGGTGGTTACAGCCCCGCAGCAGCCCGTGGTCCCACAGCAGCCCGCTGCTCCAACACAGCCATCGTCTGAGGGTTCATTGGACAGCATGCTGGGACTCCTCCAGTCAGACCTGAGCCGACAGGGAGTTCAAACATCCTCCAAAGGAAACTGTTCAGCGTGCCAGAAGCCAGTTTTAGGACAGGTGAACGTGCACCACATTATTCCTGCCCTCTACTGTAGACTTTACCTGTGATGTTTTCTTGTTTAAAGATATCTTGCTTTAACTGAACCGCTTTCTTTGTGCAGGTGGTGACGGCTCTGGGGAAGGTGTGGCACCCGGAGCACTTTGTGTGCACCGAATGCGAGACAGAGTTGGGCAGTCGCAACTTCTTTGAGAAGGACGGCCGGCCGTACTGCGAGCCGGACTACTTCACCCTCTTCTCCCCGCACTGTGCACACTGCAGTAAACCCATACTGAATGTGAGACGCTCGGACGCAGCCATTTCTGTTGCGATATTTTGTCACTAGTGGCTTAAATCATGATTTTTGCACCTTTTGACATTTAGAAAATGGTCACCGCTCTCGACAAGAACTGGCACCCCGAGTGTTTCTGCTGCGTCAACTGCAGCCGCACCTTTGGAGACGAAGGTAATACAGTAATGTGTCCCCAGTATTAATTAACGTTGAACTAATAGTCACCAAACACACAACTTCTCCCAAAGCTTCTCCTACAAATGTGTTTGTACTGACATTAATAATATGGCAATATATATATATATATATATATATACTGTACTTGTAAGAGTTTATAAATAGGAGCCCAACTTTTTTACTAAAAGCAGATCCTGCAGAGAATTTGAAGGAAAACACTGAATCTTTGGACAGTAATCCCTCATTTATCGTGGTGGATTCTAAATGCTGTAGGAGGAGCTGCAGGAGGAAGCTTCTCCTGCAGTTGTAGACTGCACAAAGGTGCAACAGGAGCTAAATAATTTTAAATAATTCATTTTAAACAAAAACTCCATGCCGATCATGCGGCCCATCCATCAATCAGCCAACTGTGTCATGTCCAATCTTATTTTGTAAAACTGCGATAGAGAGAGTCCGTGAAAAACGAACCGCGAAGCAGCGAGGGACTACTGTATTTGTTTTGGCGTGAAAGTGGTCAAAGTTAAAGCTTCGAAGCAAAACAGAACAAAACCAGAGTCACATGGAAAAAAGGACTGGCTGATTTTAAGTTACTTTAAAGATAAAAAAAAATAAACTTTTGTTTTTGTTTTTTCTTCTGCAGGTTTCCATGACCGGGAGGGCCAGCAGTACTGCCAGCAGTGCTTCTTGACTCTGTTCGCCTCCCGCTGTCATGGCTGCAACAAACCTATTCTGGAAAACTATATCTCAGCTCTGAGCTCCCTCTGGCACCCACAGTGCTTCGTATGTAGGGTGAGTGATGTTTGGTCCAATCTAGAAAGAAGTTTGGTTTTCTTAAAGGTTTATTCTTAGAAAAGATCTGACAGAATCAAGTTCTTTTATACTTATAATTCCATATGACACTTTACACCTGACTGAAAAAGCTGCAAGAAAAAAAATGTAACCCTAATTTCACTTACCTGGTGGATAATTAAATTGTAAATGTACTGTACTAATATAGCACCTTTCTATCTTATCAAGATACTCAAAACGCTTTACGACACAATCTGTGCCCTCATTTACCCATTCATACAGCACTCTACTAGATCTATACATAGAAGACAGAGTGCTTTATCACATTCATACACCGATGGGACACGCATTTGATGCAGTGAGGGGTTCAGTGTCTTGCCCAGGGACACTTCGGCATGTGACTGCTGGTGGAATTGAACCCCCAACTCTTGCATCGGAGGACGACTGCTCTAACCACTCAGCTACATTTCTGTCAGCTTTATAATCAGTTTTATGTCAGCTAGCTGCTATGGGGTGCCGTTTGTAAAGTTACACAGTCAAAAATTAACAGCAATATTTTGGTTTATTTAGCCTTTCATTAAAAAAAGACGTTATTTTTCAAAGTCATATTTTCACCATGTTATTCATACATTTATAAATGTCATAGTTAAATATTTAATTTACAAGCTAAGTATTTAGTTTACAAACTTAATACTTATTTTGCAAGTTAAATATTTATTGTCCAAGCTAAATATTTAATTTCCAAACTAACCATTTAAGTTCTAAGCTAAACATTTAATTCCTAAACTAAATATTTAATTTGCTAATAGCTTGGACTAGGGCTGCAACAACGAATCAATAAAATCGATAAAAATCGATTATTAAAAGCGTTGGCAACGAATTTCGTTATCGATTCGTTGTGTCGCGCGATTATGCATCTTTCACGGCGCTGCGGAGCAGTTTCGTTTCGTTCACCTGCAGTTCATTGTCAATGCTGACTGACTGAATAAAGTTTGAAAAAAAAAAACCTGCAGCGCGAGTTGAACAGAGCGATGGGGGAGCAAAGCAGTGGCGGTGTTTTCAAAGGAAATTTAAGTAAATTTTACAAATGACCGACGCAGCGAAAACTGTTCGACCCAAGTCCTCCAAAGAGTGGGAGAACTTCACAAAGATAAAAAATGAGAAGCATGCAGCTTTGAAAATCACCGACACGACACGAGAGAACCACGGAGATAAAACGTAAACATGTCGGAGTCACGAGCTGCAGCAGATACAACATGTCTCAGTCCCAACTCGTGTTGCAGGTGAGTCTCTACAATTTAACACATTGTTCTGTTTCAAGAGAGAAAACGTAACGTCAGTCTGTCTGTAGATGAAGCTGCTGTTTGTTTGTTTGTTTATCTGATTAATGACGGTGATAGAGGACGTGTGTGTTACTTTTTATTTAATTTAATTGGAACAATCAGTGTTTAAATGTGATTTATAAATAAATCTAACACAAAGATATTAATTTAATGATTAAGCTTCAACTTTTAATTTGCTGGCAAAGTCTGAAGACACTGCAGGTATGGCAGGATGAATTGCATTTAAACAGGAATTAAAGTAATTTATTACATCTACTCAAATGTGTGTAATTAAGTATTTTATATATATATATGTGTGTGTGTGTGTGTGTTTAATTGCTCTTTTAGCTACTTTTGCCTGAACCTAACGCTGTAAGTGAAACAAGGCATTTCTTGAGTTGCTGTAAATTATGCTATAATACATATTTACTGTCTCATTCCAGAAAACAACAACAAACAACAACATCCTGCATGATGGACAGACATCATGGACACCACAGCAGCAGCTGTCTTCACTGATAACATCCTTAAATGATCGTCACTGACATGAGGCCTCTGTCGATGGTTGAAGACGAAGGCTTCACTACAATGATCCACACTTTTAATCCAGGTTACAATAATCCGCACTTTTAATCCAGGTTACACTCTTCCCTCAAGGACACATTTTACAAAGTAGCTACATATTGTGCAGGTATAAAGACACATTTGTATATATTTTTGTGTATATTTGTTTTTTTAAGCTATTTGACTAACTTTTATTTTTTATTATTCAATATTTTACTAACAGAATAGTAAAATAGAAACTTGTTTTTTGTGTGAATTGCTATGTCAGTCAAATGTTCAATTTTGGAATAAAGGGGTGGAAATTAAAACGTTGTGTTTTTTTTTGCCGATTCATCAATTAATCGAAAAAATAATCGGCCGATGAATCGATTATTGAAATAATCGTTAGTTGCAGCCCTAGCTTGGACCTAAATATTTGTTTTCCAAGCAAAACATTTAATTTCTAAAACAAATATTTTATTTGGTAACTAAATATTTAGCTCGGACCTAAATATTTCACTTGCAAGTTAAGTATTTAGTTTGTAAATATTTAGCTTGTAAATTAAATATTTAGTTTGGAACTATGACATTTATAAATGTATGAATAACATGGTGAAAGTATGACTTTGAAATCAAAATATTGCTGTTAATTCTTGACGGTGTAACTTTACAAACGGCACCCCATAAGCTGAAGCTCTTCTAGCAGGAAAACTGTGTTTCTGCCAGAATAACTGTGTAAAATGAAACTGGCTGCTGTGTAAACAACAGTTTGTATAATAATGTTAGTACAAATCACTAAAGATGTAATGTTGTTTTAAAGGAACAGTCTGGGGATTTTTGAAATGATGTTCTGTCACATATTCATCAGTTGCCACTTCAGCTAATTTTAAATCTCATCACTTGTGCATGCTGCCATTTTTTAAAATTTGTTTGTTGCCATTTCCTCAACCGATCCGTTACTGCATACATGTCGATCCTCTGAGGATGCTGAATGTGTTAACCAGCTGGGAGTTGAGGAAACGTTTGGACCAGGGCCAGCCCAAGGCATAAGCAAACTAAGCGGTTGCTTAGGGCCCCTGGGCCACTCTGAGTCCCCCTAAGTGGAATATTTTTTTTGTTGTAAATATTTCTATATGATTTTTAAAAATATTTTAAGTTCAGCTTTTGCAAATTGTTGCATAATTTACAAAGTTTTAAGAACTAGTTATGTAACTTTAAATTTATTTTTTTATACCATTTTACATGGTTTCAAGTAATTGTTCATTTACATTATTTAAGTATTTCCTTGATATTTTATTTTTTATTTTATTTAATTGTGTCTGTTTTCACACAATTTATTTTTATGCATCTAAGTTATTTTATCTGTTGTTTGGTGTTGATCTTGCATTACACATTATTTTGAATATTACTGTTGCAGTTCTTTGGAACCAGCGATAATAAACCAGATGACACTTTTGCTGTAAAATACGTTTTTTTTTTTCTTTTGTTACTTTTAGTACCACTAGATGACATATACATATAGGATAATGTAAACAGAGCTGTCAGAGTTGCAATGACTTTATATTAGGAGGGTGAATGATCTGATTATCTGACTGTTGATTGCTGTAATCCACATTATTAGCAGAAATAGAGGGCCCCAAACCAAATTTTACTTAGGGCCCCATGGATGCTTAGGCCGGCACTGGTTTGGACTGATCAGATGTGCTCATCAAGTTGAAGAAAAAACAAAAACAAACAGTGACCAACTAAATGAACTGCGTCCTGCCAAAGTGCTAAGATTTAATATCATCTAATGTGGCATTCCTTCACAACTGCATATCAGCTTTTTGGGGGGAAAGTTGTTTTATAAGTCTGGGAACAATATAAAACCCAGTCCTTGTTTCGCTAACCATTAGCCTAGCAAAACTTTTGCACTTTTCTTCTAACTTTTTTCTTTATGACTAAATTTACAGCTGATAAGGTACCATTAATAAATATCTGATCAAACGTCACTTCAAAAGTCACCAGACTGTCTTTTTAATCCACGTTGGTATTGGCCTCGCTGAGATTAGCTTTAAAGCCAATATTTTACTGGACTGTGACTGTTGGCAACTAGTGAATGGCATTGCTCAAAACGTTCACATGGGTTCTCATTGAACGTTGGATCCTGATGGTTGGGTTGGGTTGCGTTGGGTCCATTGGGTCCTGATGCATGCTCAGGTTGAGCATGCATCAGGACATGGGTTCTCAGTTTCTTCGTGTGAGACTCAAAGGTTGCAGGTGTCCCAGACTCGTCTTGAACGTTTCTCACATAAATTTTTGTAGATGTTAGAGCACAGGAGCTCTCCTTATTACAGAAAACATCTGAGGCAATATTTCTGATTGTCCAGGTCTGAAAACCGCTCTGATAATAAAAAAAAAACATGGTCCAAATCTTCATTTCTAAAATGTACTCCATTAAATCACAAGATGCCCCAAACCCACTGAACATCTACTTTGGTGGGCACCAAAATAATGTGCGCAACCTAGAATACACTCTTGCACACATAGTTACTGTAGGTCAACACTTTTTATAAAGTGCCATATGGCTCACTGGTCGCAAATATCTGAATTTAGTGAGACTACAGTAAAAAAAAGTAGCCTGTTTTCTTGCCTTTGAAGTTGCTAGCTAGTTTCCAGCAGCATGTAAGACACTTGACTTTGGCTCATCAGAACTATTCTCCCAATAAAATAAGTCATTTTCTTCTTCTCGCTCCAGGAATGCTACAGCCCCTTCGTGAACGGCAGCTTCTTCGAACACGAGGGGAAGCCGCTGTGCGAGGCGCACTACCACCAGTCCCGCGGCAGCATGTGCCAGGCCTGCCAGCAGCCCATTCTGGGCCGCTGCGTCACCGCCATGGGGGCCAAGTTTCACCCCCACCACCTCGTGTGCCACTTCTGCCTGAAGCCGTTGAGCAAAGGCTGCTTCAAGGAGCAGGAAAACAAACCGTACTGCCACCCCTGCTTCATCAAACTGTTCGGCTGAATACGCCGCTCACAGATTTGTGCTCAAATCCTCTGAAGTGGAGAAGCTGCACGACGCTTCTTCAGAAATGTTTTTCTAATTCAGTCCAAAGGGGAGGATGGAGCAGGTCTCTGTTTGAGGAAGGGTGGAAAAGTAATCCAACATGTTTTTATTTGTTTTTTAGAGAAAAGGGACTGAATCATACACCTCTAATGTTAAATTATCCAGTCACAAAATGATGCCAAATATTTTCTCATGTATGTAAATATTTTACATATGGTCTGTTTTGAATTGAACATTAATTGAATTATTTTGCCAAAGAAAGAAATCAAATGTTTTGTTTCAAAAATAAAAAAATGTTCCCATCCCCTGCAAAAAAAAATTAAAAAAATCATTTTAATATATTTGCTTTGTATTACTACGTGTACACGTTTCACTGCTTTACATATATATAATTTGCTAATAACTATATGTTTATTTTCCATACCACATGTTTAAAGTCAGATATTTTGTATTCTTGTGCTGTGGCTTCATGCAAATGCCAAAACAAAATAAAAAAAGCACTTTTAAAGAATAAAGATGAAAACCTTTGCCGGTTTGTGGTTTAATGTTTGGTATCAAAATGAAACTGAAGCTGAGAAAATAAGATTGAAATAAGATTTTTAGTTCTAAGAAACCGCGTATGGTTTTATTTGGAAAAAAACTAAAGAATGTGACGTAAAATAAAGCTTTCAAACTTTTATTAATGGGAATTTACACACAGGTAAATGGGCTCCCAAAGCAGGGGTGATTCTAGAATCGGCCCTGTATGGGTGCTGATTCACCCCCCAGTGCTGAAAATGGCTCTTGGCTTGCATCAGAAGCATTCATAATGTGTGTGTGTGGGGGGGGGGGGAACCCTGGTGGTGGTGGTCTGGGGGTCCTCCCGCACAAAAATGTTGAATAAAGTAGACGTAATTTCCTGCATTCTTGTGTATTTTCACAGGTTGTTAAACATTTATGTTTACGTACATAAGTAAACACTTGATTCAATAACTATTTTAGAGAGCACGGCACAACAAGACGTAGCACTAGCGGCATGCGATACAGATGTGCCAGCTAAGATGCTACAGACACAGCGCTGTGCTTTACATTACACAATCTAATAAACACTTTGTACAAAATCAGTTTAGTGTTAACTGATCGTGACAAACAAAAACTAAATTTGTGCAACCAGAAGGTACAACATAGCTATAAACACGCAAAACAAAGCACAATTAGCTTCAAGCATTCACATTTAATTTAACCATTAAACATACCTGCAGTTACTTTTGTACACATGAACATGTGGTACTTCCTGTTTATCACTGTTGTATTCAGCTGCTCATGGCGTCGGCCGCAGGACTTTATCGTCTTTTACATCTTTCCAGACTCAGTTTAGGCTTGGGAAATGGAATAAATTGTATTCCATCCTCTAAAGCAGGACTAATCAAATAAACTGTTCAGGGGGCCACAGTTACTGAAAGACAGCAGCTCAGGGGCCGGACATCCAGCTATTAAAGTCATTATGTAAATAAACCAAGTATTACAATCTGTTACTTTTAAAATTTGTTTATTTTGCTGCATTGAATCATAACTGCAATAAACAGAATACAAACACAGAATGCCCC